CCCAACCCCCTAGCGCTTGCACTTATTTACTGTGTTTTTTATTTTACTTTCCCCCCTTAGGGGGCAGCGCTGGAGGAAGTGAAGTTCAAAGCGAAGCGCTGCTGCGAAGGCCTCCCGAGGTGCTCCTCAGCTCCGCTCTCGGGGCGGCAGTCGGGGGGCTGCTCCCGGGGGGAGGGCATGTAGCGCCGGCTTACTGGCTCTTTGCACCTCCTTCCGAGGGGTGGCGGGAAGGAAGGGACCAGAAATAGACTGCCGACAGCCTCTTCTGCTTGCTTTTCTTTCCCGCTGCTACTTAAATCTTGCTCTGCCCTTCTGGAGCCCCCTCGGGTGATTTGAATGCTGTCTTTTGTTTCTAGCCCTGATTATCTGAGAGCAGCTGACATGACTGAAGTGATGATGAACACCCCAGCTATGGATGAGATTGGGCTAAGCCCCCGCAAGGATGGCCTGTCGTATCAGGTAAGCGCTTTGCTGGCTGCTTAGGCAGTAATCCCCTGTGGAATTGCTGGGGCTGGACTGCAGACTCGGTCTAGTGTACCTTTCTGTAGCCTGACCTAATAGCAGGTCTTGCTATAGTGAGATCTAGTCAACAGACTGGAATGTTTGCTTGGCAGGAGCCGGTTGTCTAAAATATCACTCGGTATCAGACAGGATTGGCAAAGGACTTCATTGTTTCCGAAGCAATCGAGCCCCCACTCAGTCAGTGTTCATGGGGGCTTGGTGAAAGGCGGGGAGGTTGGTTAGAGAAGGATTCTCCTCACTCACCAGACTGAGAGGACTCTGGAGTCTCTTCAACGCGGCACACAAATGATCTGCCTAGAGCAAGAGGGAGGTGTTTATATGGCACTTAAAGTTTTTGATCTATTTCTTGGTTTTCTTGACTGATGGGCCTGTTTGGGAGGGTTAACCCTCAGATCCAGTGAGGCCAGGGACAACCTAAACAAGCCTTGCAATGTCGCTGGAGATACCAGTACCTGCAAGCATGAGCTGCATTCATTCTGAAAGTTGTGAACAATGTAATTAGCTACTAACCTCTAGATCAATGGCTGGGGTGAAGGTGGGGTCTTAAACTAGGTTGAGCCGCAATCATTTGGTCTCAATATCCCTTTCATTTCCTAGCTTGTAGTTAATAAGTTGTGCATCTTAGCCTCCTAGATCGGTGTTTTCCTACCCTTCCAAGAGACTTATTGATGAGATTTAACATGGGTGCTGAGTGCATGCAGATGACTTGCATCTGGTCTGTGCATCGGGTGACTCTTAATGGAAGATCCTGATGCAGGGCTCTTTGCAGATGTTACACAACCTGCACAGAGGCAGTTGCTCTAAGTGTGCATTCAAATGAGGTGTGCTATTGTATGCTTGCATATTTATGTCTTAAATGAGCTACAAGGCAGTAACAGTGCATTGGAGCATGAGATCAACTGAACTTTGGGCTGTGGCTGAGGCCTTCAGCAGAAGCCAAAGCTGTGGGAGGAAAAGGGGTGCATGGCTTTTTGGTCAGAATTCTGGATCTGGATAGTGCAAGTTGTTTGGTTTATTGCCTGTGTATGGAAACAGCTGTGCTTCAGTGCTTGAGTTAGTGGAAAGCATATGGCCTTTCTTTCCTATAGAGGGAGCGTACAGCAGTGAGAACGGTTATAAACCTGAAGCAATCAAACTAGCCTGCATGGGGTGTTCGGTTGTCTTTATGGGTCACCATATGAAGAGGTTTAACCCAATCAGGTCAAATGCCTCTACTTAACTACCCAAATTTTCCAGTGAGAGGCAGAATCTAGGTGCCCTGCTTGTTCTAATGATTGCTTCAGTGATGTTTTTTCCCCCCTCAAGTGGTAATGACCTTGATAAGTCTGCTTGGGCCAACTGGGGAACAGGCCTGTTCAGTTTTGAGTGGATCATCTGAACCTGAAGGTGTGTGAGTCATAAATGCTGACGACTCATATCTATGCAGGGCTTCTGCATCCTGGATCTCTCATCTGTAGTGGTCTAGTCATAGATGACTTTTTTCAGATGCCTGCAAGAGCTGGGAACTGCCTGCTGGTACTTCACTTTGTTGTAAGCCAAACTGATGGCAGAAAGGATTGAGATGTTGAAATGGAAGATCCTGATGGGGCACTAGTGGTGTGTGGGCTGTGTAGCAGGTCTACCTCTAAATCAGGTTAGTGTAAAGAGGTTTGGGCAGCAGGCTTCAGCCTTCTTCTGCCTGCTAGACTGAGAATGTTGCATCAAGGTAAGTTGAAAGCATCCTTAAAGGGCTTAAAATTCAAGTGAGAACAGCAAGGACAAATCTGATGCAAATTGCACCATGAACTTCTTGTTCTACCTCAGACTTCAGTACTTTGCGCTTCATCTTGCTGATGGAGAGAGTTTGGTACATGGAAAATTGTATGCTAGACTGAGGGCTGTAGTGGCATAACTTAAAACCAGACAGGGCTAATGGAGCATGACTGCTCCTGCACTGAGGTTTGTTGTTCTAAGCCGCAACATCTTTCTCCACTCATCTGCAGAGTTGGGCACTTGTCATGTGAGTGTAACAGCCCTTGGCTGGCTATGAGAGGCAAAAAAAAAAGTGGAGCCAGAAGTGGGAGAGGCAAGCTTTTAGTTTCAAAAGTTGCTCTCGTTCTAGCAGTAGAACTTGTATTTATTTTACTGCAGAGTTGACCTCAAAATTAGGTTAAAAATGTCTCCCTTTGAGCTGTGCAGAGCAGGGACTGCCTGAGAGTTGGTCCACAGGATCCTAGCTGTGAGCCTGGGGGCTGCTTCTACCACCATATGCAGACATGAAACTGTCTGGACCAGAGGAGATGGTATAGCAGCTTTGCTGGAACCGTAAAGCACATCACTATCTGCTGCAGACAGACTTGTCCAACCAACAGTACTGTTTCGAAGTTATTTTTGCCTTTGCTTGGAAGTAAACTGAGGAAACATACTCAGTATGAGTTTAAACTTCAGCAGTCTGATTCCTCTGTCCCATGTCCCATAACCTTGCAGATTACGGAGGCAGCTTGGCTTGTTGACTTTTTCCTTCTGCCTCTTTCACCTCCTTGCCTCTGCTTGTGCTCTGGAGTGTCTGTCTAGACATCAGCTGGAGGTGTGCACCCCGCTAGTGAAGCTCCCTGGCCTTTGGTGGCCTGGCCATCACTGCTCTTTGAGCAATGATGTGAAAACTCAGACTGCAGAAGTCGTATCAGTGATAATTGACTTGCTGGTCTAGGCTTAGTAATTTGTACCGTTTCACTTGCAAAATGTGCTTTCTCAGCATAGAAATGCCTTTTTCCAGTTAATAAGCAAAATGCTTGTAAGCGAATGTGCTAATTTTGGAACCTTTCTATGTGGAACCTTTTTGTGCTTATTGCATAGATGCAATATTATGCAGTTATTACTGTATTTGCGATGTAAAGCAGCTCTGAGCCCCCTGAAGGTGGTTCAGCCAACAGATTTAAAGGGGCTGAGTGAAAGCGAATGGTGAAATCAGGGCACAAGTCTCAGAGCAGGGTGGCACAGACAAAACAGAAGATGCAGCTGAAGAGATGATGTCATGCTGGGTCTTGTGCCCGCAGTGAAGAGCTATTTCTGGATCTTTAATAGATGTCCCATAATTCCCATGGGACTTACTAAACAAAAAACTCGTTGACATGCAGCTGATGGCACAAGATGCCCCTGCGACCAACAGATGTGCCTATGGAGGGCTCCGTGTGCTTCCTGCCTGGCAGCCTCGGCGAGCCGGGCCTTTTTTGCTGCCAGTCAGAGCTAATGCACCGTTTGCTATTTTCCAGCCCCTAGATATACCTGTCCTCCGAAAAGCCTCATCAGCACTCTGCCAGCTTGTCCTCTGATGCCGTCTCACAGCGGCACGGACGGTGCTACTGAAACAAGAGGCTGAATTAATCATTTCATGGAGCTGTTGTCGAAACAGTACCTTGACCTGAATCCTGCCTTGCTTCTTGGAAGTGGAGCAGGGTCTAAGCACAACTGGGAACGCTTTGATACCCAAAGAGTTTATTTTGAGCAAATGCTGTGTCCCGAGTTGAGTGTGCTATTTTGCTGCAGACTGGTTGTCTGGCCGGCTCGCTGGTCCTGGCAGGACGTTAGGCTCCCTTTTAGCAGATTGGCATGTGGAGGCTGAGCTTGCCTCATGCCATCAGCTGGGCTTTGGTTGTCATGGGGAGCTTGAGCTCTTTTAAGTCATGATCGCGTCATGCTGGGATCTGTCTAGGTTAATCACAGCCACAGCTAGCTGTGAATCACGTCAGACTGACTGAATCTAGGTAAATAGGCTTAACGTTCCATCCAGTGTCTGCGGTGAAAGCTTTGGGTTGTCTGTCTTGTTGGGGAAATAATTTTTGATGAATGCAACACCTCTTTACCAGCACCAGAGAAGCAGTGGCTTTCTCAGGGAGCTGTGATGCTGCGTGCTGAGGGGTCTGGGCTGCGATCTGCTGCATCTCCCCGTCTAAACTGGGGCACCAATATGTTACTGACCCTGGGGTTGATGGCAAAGGGCTGATGGAAACTGAGCTTCCACGGTGATTGCCTTGTTTGCTTGTAAGGCACTTCATGTCTGTGCAGCCTTTATTCGTGCAGGGAAAGTCCTGTACTGGAGCTGGTGCGCGCTGCTGCTGAAGGTCTTGAGGCTGGGCTGCAAAAAGGTGGTGATAGCAAGCGAGTTTAGGGTAATCTGTTCACACAGCACATGCGATGTATGGTTACTAGACAAGATTAGTAGGCTGAGTCAATGTGTATTCCAGGGTCTGGGACCTTAAATGAAGGCAGAAGCAGGATATGGGATAAACAGAGCCAAAACAATCATGTTCGCGGCTACGCTGTGCAAAATGTGTTCCACTGAAATGCAAACTGAAGACAGCAGCTAATCAGAACATCTCAGTGCATGTTTTTTCCTTCCTACTTGATGCCTTATTACTCTGGAAAATTGTTATTATGTACGAAGTTCCCCAGCCCCTGTCCCCCAAGACAGGGCAATTTGTCCATGGCTGGGGAGTTGTCACAGTTCATAGACCTGAGTCACAGGCTGCTATGTGGATACTAGACGGAGCTCAGTTTAGAGTCATGACTACTGTATGAATAAATATATGTATTGGTACTGCTTCTTATGGAGGAAAAAGTCCTCCAAAGAGGACACTGAGAGATGATTTAAGTATTTCCTGAAATGAGTTTGCCATGCTTCTCAGTGGCAGTAAAGTTTTATTTCAAGAACTTAAGTGCTGACTTGAGATTCGGAATATTGACTTGATACTGCTAAAGAGACACAAAATGTAGCTCTTCAGTACTGGGAGGATGAGTGATGCGTGTATGTCAGGGGTGTACCCTATACCTGAAGTGGTATGCCCCTCAGTGCAGCACTTCCAGGCTTGTATAGTATTACAATAAAGCAAAGCCTTCCCCCAAAACAGTAACTTAATTTGGAAAGATCTAATTACTTCAGTCTCCCTGCAATATAATTGAAATAGTTTTCATCCCCATGGGAGGGGAGACAAGCATTTTAACTATGGGTGTTGGTATGGAGTACACATGTGGAAGTTGTTTTAAATTTACAAGTGTCATTTGGATTATGGTAGCTCTGAGCTAATCCTCTTAATTGTCTGACATCTCTCTTGCTTTTGGTGTTTCTCCATCCCTGTGAATGCTGAGAGAGGGTATGAGCCTCCCCAGGGCAATGAAAACTTTCCATTCTTGTTGCCAAGACTTCATTCAAGGATAGTGGAGCTAGATCATCTGAAGCAGAGGCAAACATGATCTTTCTAAAATCATTTCAAGCTTCAATTTCAAGTTCTGCTTTTCGATGCCCTTTTCTAGCTGCAAGGCAAGAGTTCAGTTGATTTGCATGTGATCTGGACCAGTCCATGAGGAGGGCAAGTTCCCAAAACATAATCTGGAGAGGCCTGTGAAGACTAGACTTGCTGTGGGTGAGGAGCTGTGAGTAGCGTCGGAAGCAATACACGTGTCCTCTGTGGGCTCTAAAGGCGTTGGATGTATCTCTCCATGGGCCAGGAGTTGGGGCTCAGCTACAGGAGGGTCGGGCTCTGCAGAAGTGGTTGCAGCCCCTCGTGCTGTGTCATGCAAGCGAGGGGGACGAAGATACCTTTGAATTGCTGCTGAACTTGCTGTTAGGTAGCTGTCATGACCAGTTGGTGATTGCCATTTGTCTCTTGTCAAGTGGCCAGATCAGCCAGAAGTAGGCACCCGCTTCAGCGGCGTGCAAGGTGGCTCCCTCTGACAGATGAGGGGGAGAAGTTAACCCGTGGCTGCTGTACTTTTTGGGTGGTGGGGAGATGCAGAGTCTTCCTCCGACACGCCTGAGCTGAGTAGTGCGAGCAGAAAGGTTTGTGGGCTGGTTTTGCTAGACAAAGCTGTCCTGGCTGCTGTGCAGAAGGGTGCAGAGCTCGCGGGTCGGAGCTGAGCTGCTGTATTCCCAGTGGGGACCTTGCTGCGAGTTTGAGAGTTGCTTTTTTTTCCTTCCCATTGTCTAAATCTGGAGTGGGACCAGATTAGGCATACGGGACCAACAAATGCAGCACGGCTCTACTGGTGTGGGACAGCAGAAAGCTGGTGCTTGCTTATCTTTTTATAAAGAGCCTGGCAACACAGCTTATTTTGGAGTGGGGAGGCTGGTTGGGGTAACTTTTCCACCCAGCTTCCCCAGATGTGCAACTGGAGTCTTAATCTGAAAACATCTTTCCTTTGGTCCCTGTGCTTGGCCTGCTGTCTTGCCCTGCTCATCACATGGGAGGAAATCTGCCTTTGTGTATTTTTTCCATTGACTGTCCACACCCCTTGAAAGTGCGGTTGCAACATCTCACTTCATGCTGCCTCAACGATTAAAAAGCATGACTTAGTGGAAAAAATCCTGACCTTCTTGGGTTCGGCCTGTCCTGCAGCTGTTTGAGATAAGATTGTGCTAGGGCTTTTTTTTTATTAAAAAAAGCTGCACACCACATTTTGGGGATATTTGTTTTTAAGGAAATGACTACTACTTAGTTTCTGGAAAAAAAAACCTGGCAGGCTATCTTCAAAGAAATTGCTCCAATTTGACCTAATGTGCTTAAAATGATAGCAGCCAAAGGTTAGCTTAATTATTATACTGCTATTTTTCTTGCACAGGAGGCTATTTTCATGGCATTATCAGCTTATGTAACCTTCTGAACCACACTTCTTTTTCCATTGCAACCTTCTAAACCATGTAATGTCAAGGATACTTTTTTCCTATCCCAAGTTTAGATAACAAGTTGATGCTTAAGAGCCACTGACTGTACTTCCAGTAATGCACTGCGTGTCTGAAACTACCTTTGGCCAAGCAGAAGCCACAAAACTCCAAAAAAGTTACTCACTCATGGCAGGAGTGACTGACAGCGTCATACTGCAATGCCTATGTCAACATGGCTGCGTTTGAAGACCTCACTGCCGTGCGCTTGAAAAGCATATGGGTGGTGGGTGCTGTAGCAGGAGCTGGGCTCCTGCACCACTGTCCCCAGGACCAGACGGCTGTCTGCAAAGAGCCCTGTTGTGTGTTACCTTCACACGGAGCTGCTTGTCCGAGCACATCGCCCCTCCCAAAGTTACCTTGCCTGACTTTGCATTAAGCAGCAACCGATGGCTTGCTTTGGTTGGTAACCTGGTTGCCAGAAAGCTTTGGGTGCAAGGGAGAAAGGTGGCTGAACGCTGGAAAAGTGTTGACAAGGAGGTGATGGTGTGGTTCATGGCTGCTAGGCTGAAGAACAAGTTGATAGGATGATGTTTCTCTTTGGGGTTTGGGCCAGGGCTTCCCAAGGTGGTGGGTACCTGCCTGATTGGCATGAGGAATATGATGCTTTGCGGTTAATGCTCGGTGCTCCTGGATGGGGAACCTGCTGCTGTAACTAGAACTGCAAAGATCAAAGCAGATGAGATCTTGCTGTCTGAGGCATGCACAAGCAGCATGCCCGTCGGAGGCTGGCCGTGCTGTTCCCTGCAGGGATGCTCTGACGGCTCACGTGGACGTAGCTGGTGTTCAAAGAAAAGTACAGTGCCTGACTCCTCACCTACAACCTGGAGGGGAAAAATGCATTTTGTGGTTATCTTCTTTGGGGTGTTTAAATGCAAGAGTGATGTGAAATGGGCACTCTGATAAAATTTTTTGAAATAAACAGGTGGTAATTGTTTAATCTTCTGGTTACCAACCAGGGGATCTGATGTGGCAGTTGGTTCTTGTCACCCAGCAATCATCTTCTGGATGAGCTGGGGCTTGAAGCTGTTCCCCTAGTAGGACATCTCTATAAGCAACAGCAACCTTTTTCTGTTCACGCTGCGATTCGGTCACGCAAACCTCCTGCTAACGCTGCAGTGGCAGTTTTTCCTCTACCTGTGTCTCTGCCTCGGTGCCTGGTAGGATCAAAGCATGCGTCCCCGTGGCACTGCTGCTGAGTCCGGGCCCCAGTGCCGCTGCAGAGCATGTGCGCCCATGCGGGAGGGAAAGGGGTAAGGTTCTGCTCTGTGCACCTTGGGGGGCTGGAGATCAGGGGGTCCTCATGTTCCTCGCAGCGGGGTACATCATTGCTGGCTATGCCACAGGTACCTCCACAAAATGAGTGTCCTCTTGCGGACAACTTTCAACAACACTTTCACTGCTGACGTATGGTAGCTGTGGCGTGCGGAACACTGCCAAAACACCTCTAAAATGCAGCTGAACTTCTCTTTTGTCCTGGTGCTGTGGCCCTGGAGCGATACCAGAGGCAGGCCCTTGCTGCAAGGGTCTGGACCGCTCTGGCACTGGGTGTGCACATGCCTCCCCTCCCTTCTAGCAGCAGAGCCTGGAGCACAAGCCTGTCCTCGTCTGTAGCTTGACCAGCAGCAGGAAATGAGATCTCAGATCCTCCGATCGAGATAGCTCGCTGTGCAAACTCATGAGCATTAATGCAGACGCAGTGACGGGGTGAAGGGGGGAGAGTGAGGCATTTGGATAAACAGCCAAAAGGGCAGATGCCTGTTCGAGCACTATCCAAGCAACCACGTGCTTTGGAAGCCTCTTGGACAGCGCTTATTTCTAATACTCAGATTAGAGAAGCTTATTTACAAGTTTAAGAGTCTCCCCATCACTCGGTGGTTTACTCTGTGTCCAGACTAGTCTGCCCTGAAGACCCAAGTGTCTTGAGAGTTGGGTTTTGGCTAAGACTGCTTGTATGCAGCCCTCACAGGCTGTTTCTTGACTCTTTCAGATCTTCCCAGATCCCTCGGACTTCGACCGCTACTGTAAGCTGAAGGACCGCCTGCCCTCCATTGTGGTGGAACCAACGGAGGGTGACGTGGAGAGTGGTGAGCTGAGATGGCCACCTGAAGAGTTCCTCGTACAGGAGGAGGAAGAGGAGGAAGAAAACTGTGAAGATGCAAAGAAGGACAACAAGGAGCAATAAATGGTATCTGAGGAAAGGCAAGGGACCGCACCCTTCTGAAGGAAGAGCCACACTTCTTTTTGAAAGTCTTTTTAAAAAAAAAAGACAAGTTCAGTTTTGCACCTGCGAGATCTTAGTTTTTTTGTATTCTCTGTATTGAGAACTGAAGCCCTCGGTGTCACCAGACCTCCTAAGGAAGGAAGTAACGTAGAGAAATGTTTGCTGTTCTTGAGATCACTATCTGTATTTTTCCAAGGTGGAGGCAGCGGTGAAATTCCAAGCACGTGGCAGAGGGTGACCACATGAGGACCGCTGGAGGGGGGAGCTCGGGGAGGGGGAGGAAAGTTGGAGGTGGCAGTGTTAAGCTGGGAGCTACCTCCAGCTAAAAGCATGAGAACAGAGCTGCCATGTCTCAGATTTGCCTTTCTTACAGCTTCCATTTTGTGTGTCAGGGGTGGAAGGGTGTCCATAGCGAAGCATGGCTAAATGCCCTACTGATGAGGGGCCTGTTCCTTCCCAGTTTGGCACCTCCTAGGGTAATGTGAGCATCCATAGGAGTAGTTGGGTTTCTTGCTCTCGCTGTTGAGCCTGTTTTCCAGCCACTTTTCCCAAAGCTGTTTTCTTCCCCTCTGTTTGCCTTTAGACTCTTCAATGCTGAACAGCTGTATTTGCAGGATAATGTTAGGCTGCTGCTTGTCATCTCTACTGCAAGGCCCTAGTTTATCTTGCAGGTGGTTCGCATGAGGTAATACGCATCAGATGTCTGCAGCAAGAGCTCATGTAGATTTGAACACCTCGGATTTTTCTCTCATTTGCTGAGGCTGCTGTGGTCGGCCTCGTCTTGTACAGTGCCCAAAGCCAGAGGGTGGGGATTACGCCTCCATACCTTGGTGTCCTTGAGGTGGTAGAGTTTCATGTCTCCAACTTGCTGGTCAATGGGCTTGTGAGGGCTGGGGTGGGGGATCTCCTCCAGCTTTGCACTGCAGGGCCTCCTCACTGCAGGACAGGCTGGCAGGGGTGTGCATGGTGGGGAGTACCGCCAGACCTGGAGGTAGTCCAAAGACGAAACACCAGATCTAGTGTGGATCATCAGTGGGAGAGGGGGGTTTGCAGGAGAGGTTTGTTGGGAGAACTAGCCTGGGTGTCCTGAGACAAGACTTGCTTCTGCTTCATAGCAAGGGTGAAACATTCATGGGTGTTTAATGAAGTGCAGACTGGCTTGTGAAGTGTGTGGTTGTGTCCTCTTCACCGTATCCTACTCCAAGGAGAAGTCATCTGTGTCTGGGGAGGAGACCAGGCTGCTGCCAGACAGGGTAACTCGCCGCTTTCTGGAAAGCGATGATCTTGCAGCTTTGGGGACCAACTTGGGAGCCAGTCAGTGGTGGGTTAGGATGAGAACAGTTACCACCTAAACCAAATCTGGGTCATGGAAGAGAAAAAGAAATGTCAAGGCCTTAACCAAACTTTCATAATAATCCCAATGCCACCCCCCTTTGCTTATAACTGGTTGCATTTTTAAAATCTATTTCGACATGTGTGTATTTGTATTTTTAATACCTCATGAGTAGTTAAACGCTGTTGGGGGTTGGGAACTGCTTTTAACATATTGGCAGGATTGTTCTAGTCTTGTCTTGCTTGTGTTTAAACATAATGGCAATAATTTATCAGCTCTGCATAACTGTTTCAGACAGATAGGAGTTTGGAGACGAGTTAGCACAAAGCAGGAGAAGTTCAGTGTTCTTACACTGCAGCTGGTCTCTGGTCCAGCAGTGCAGACCTGGTTATCTACACTCCCTGCCTGTCTTGGTGGACAGTTGATTACCAAATGGTCATGATGTGGTTATACCATTTTCTCTAGTGATGGATTCAGCTGTTGTATCTGTAACACTTGTTCTAGTCTTGCTGTCTTACTGGAATGAGCTTGTACACCTGCATACCAGCCAGTTGTCTTATTTCTAAGTGTTATTCTCTATTGGTCTCTACCGTCTGTACCACCAAGTCAAAGATGTATATCAAAGATACTACCACGTGGGCAGCAATGAGATGGCAATCCCTGGACTTTCAGACCTGCTGTCTGCCCTAAAAAAGACTTGCATATTTCTGTCTGCATCTTTTTTTTGGAAGTATTGTGTATATTTCTATTTGTTGTTGAACGTATCTAAAGAACAAAGCACTCCAGTAAAATTCCTCCTGTTGTATGATATACATTCTATATTTCTGTAATTCTTTTTTGAGCCTCAGGGAGAAGCTAGCATTTTTTTCAAACTACATTTTTGTCACTGTGACAGTTGTAAATAAAGTTTGAAAATGCTTTCCAAACATACTGGCTTTGTTCTTACTGCCAAAGCGGGTCGGATGGTCAGCCTTCCAGATACTGGCCAGTCCTTGTGTTTCAGGTCTGAGGTGCGCTGACTTGCAAGACTAATGCAAATATCTGAAGAGAATTGTGTCTATCAGCTGAGGCTGGCTGTGAACCTGGAGATGTTTGCATGTGGCTGACCTCAGAGCATGCCCTATGGGACTAAGCCTAAATCAACTTAGCGAGGGGCAGCATCTTTACCTTCCATCTTCCTACAGCTGCTTATTGCTGTGCGAAAGGCTGCAGCAAAGTGCTCCTCCAACTTATATGGTCCTGAAAAATCTGTATTTGTATCTATAAATTTTCCACTAAAACCAGTCGGTGAGAAGCAAATGGCCTGGAATACCCTGATCTTTCAGATAGATGGAGAGAAGTTCCTGTGATTTGGTGAGTAAGAGACTCTAATCTCACCTATGTGAACAAGCTGGGTGGTGGCAAGTGTTATGTTTGCATGAGGCTGGTTTAAATACACTAACTAATCACCCTCAGATTTAATGCTTGAACTGAGGGCATGCTCAACATGAGCCCCACAGTTCAAAAATGAATTGTATTGTGCTTAGCTGTTATTGGGTGTGTGGATGTTTTATGCCATAGAAACATAAATGCAATGTTGAAGCTTGCCTCTCCTTTTCTTCAATCAGCCTCTAATTAAGGTGCCTTGACTTCTTGCCCTCCTTAGGCATGGAGTTGCTTTCCTTCTAGAAGAAGCTGAAGGACTTCCAAGATGGGGTGCTGCTCTGAAATCCTTGAAGATGTTTAGTCCTGCCCCAGAAGGTCTCTGATTAAAATGCAGCACTGGCTAGGAAAACTGCAAATGGATTGAACCTGTCTGCAAACTCCATGTGCTTCACATGAACAGGTTTTTCAGGCTCGTGTCAGAATGAAGCCATCCATTTTGTTTCCTGATGCATCATGCTGGTTTTGGGCCAGAGCAGAAGGGCTGGCCTCTGAGGGGGGCTCAATGCTTGCAGGGCTGCCTTGCGTCAGCCCGGGGTGGTGCTGGCAGGAGAGCAATGGTGAGGAGGGGGCTCTTCCTGGTCCTGGGCTCCAGCTGTTACGGTCAAACTGGAATTTGCATGAAAATAGGTTTTCTGCTGTGTGGGTGACCCTGAGTCATCCCAAGAACTTCAGGGGTGGCATAAAGACCTTCCTTTGTGCAGAGAGCAATCTTTCTTCTGGCTCTTCCTTGAACTTGAGGCATTTGTTGTCCTCCTCCAGAGCTTTGCCCTGTAGTTGCACCCGATGACGCAGCAAGCTGTGCACTGTTGCCCTGCTTAGTTCAGTCTGTGTTCACGCTCCCAAATACTTGGCTTGTTTTTTTTGGTGTGTATCCACTTCTGATCAGCTTCACCAAAGCACATAGTCACTTGAAACACACTGAGCAGATGAACTTTTGGCATCTGGCTTTTGCCCATGTTTGGGTGCAGCCAGGCACCCAGGAGTGCAAAGATAATTCACCATCAGTGCTGCACATGGGGAGCAGCCACCCCCCCAGACACAGGTCCCCTTAGTGTGTGTCAAAGTCCTGCTCTGCTGTAACCACGCTGCTCCTTATCAGTGTGAGCAACAGGGGAACCAGCATTGCCTTCCAGCTGCCGGGTAAGGGTAACCTGGGCCACCCCCCTCCCATTTTAGCTCCTGTAGGAAGTTCTCAGCAGCTGAGGACATGGAATTTCATCCCTGTTGATGTTGCTCTGCTTTGTGATGCCTTGAAGCACAATCAGAACCGAAACTAAAGTCCCCAACCGCTAGCCTAGTCACCTGGAAGAAAATGAGGGATGTGAGGAGCAACAGCCTGTAATGCATGTCCTCTGCGTTCCCCAAAAGCAATCCTGGGCGCTGAGCATCTCTATATAAACAAGAGCAATTACTACCCCAGAAACCTTCCTTGAGGAGAAAAGCTCTGGGTGTTTCATGGTTTGAACGATGCTTTTTTGCTTACGTTTGGACAGAAAAGGCATGGTTTTAGGAAATTAAAGAGCTGGGCCTGGATCTGAGAGAAGCACCGCAGAGTTTAATTATGCCCCTGTCTGATGTCCCCGTGGTCTGCGGCACCTGTGTAAATGCATCTGTGCTTCCAGGAGCACGTTGCGAGTACATGTCTACCCGTCTTGCCGCGAGGTCGTTGTTGCTGTGTTTCAGCGTCTGCTGGTGCAAAGCTGGGATTAAAG